GGAACTTCTTATGCTTCAGCTTGTGGCCATTACCCCTCGTCCTATCGCTGGCCACCAGTGAAAACAGCCTGTCCCCTTCCTCCCTGCATTCTCCCTTCCTGAACTTATACATATTAATCATATCCCCTCTGAGCCTTCTCTTCTCCAGAGAAAACAGGCCCAGCTCACTCAGCCTCTCTTCATACGAGAGATGTTCCATTCCCTTAATCATCCTGGTTGCCCTTCTCTGGACCCTCTCCAGAAGCTCCACGTCCCTCCTATACTGGGGTGCCCAGAACTGCCCCCAGTACTCCAGGTGCGGCCTCACCAGAGCTGAGGAGAGGGGCAGAATCCCCTCCCTTGACCTGCTGGCAACACTCCTCCTGATGCAGGCCGGGATCCCATTGGCCTTCTTGGCCACGAGGGCACACTGTTCACTCATGGTTAACTTGGTGTCAACCAGGACTCCCAGGTCCCTCTCCGTGGAGCTGCTTTCCAGCAGGTCGACCCCTAATCTGTACTGATGCCTGGGGTTATTCCTGCCCAGGTGCAGGACCCTGCACTTGTCCTTATTGAACTTCATGAGGTTCCTCTCTGCCCAACTCTCCAGCCTGTCCAGGTCCCTCTGGATGGCAGCACAGCCCTCCAGAGTGTCGGCCACTCCACCCAGCTTGGTGTCATCTGCAAACTTGCTCAGGGTGCATTCCGTGCCCTCGTCCAGGTCATTGATGAACAAGTTGAACAGCACTGGGCCCAGCACTGACCCCTGGGGGACACCACTGGCCACAGGCCTCCAACTGGACTCGGCCCCATTTATCACCACCCTCTGAGCTCTGCCATCCAGCCAGCCCTCAATCCACCGCACCGTGCGCTCATCTAGTCCACTGTCCCGGAGCTTCCGTATGAGGATGTTATGGGAGACAGTGTCAAAAGCCTTGCTGAAGTCAAGGTAGACAACATCCACGGCTCTCCCCTTGTCCAGCCAGCCTGTCATCCCATCATAGAAGGCTATGAGGTTTGTCAGACATGACTTCCCCTTGGTGAATCCATGCTGACTGCTCCTCAGCAGCTTCTTCTCCTCCATATGCCTGGAGATTCTCTCTAGGATGAACCGCTCCATCACCTTTCCAGGGACAGAGGTGAGGCTGACTGGCCTGTAATTGCCCGGCTCCTCCCTCTTGCCCTTTTTGAGACTGGAGTGACGTTGGCTCTCTTCCAGTCCTCGGGCACCTCCCCTGCTCTCCAGGACCTCTCAAATGAGCCCATGATAATCCTGGTAAAGTTAAGCTGGACATCTGCTTGGGAGTTGAGGATTCTCTCTCCCTTGGTGTCAGGCTCAGGCTGTTGGAGATTGATTTTGTGGGACTGTGGGTTAAAGTTCTGGTCAAAATTACGGTTGTGATCTTCAGACTGCTCTGCTCCTGTCACAGAATCATAGAATCCTTAAGGTTGGAAGGGACATCTAGTCCAACCCCCTGCTCACGCAGGGTCACCTAGAGCACGGGGCACAGGGCCGTGTCCAAGTGGGTCTTAAAGATCTCACACAGGAGTAGGAGACTCCACAACCTCTCTGGGCAGCCTGTTCCAGGGCTCTGTCACCCTCACAGTCAAGAAATGTTTCCTTAAGTTCCTGTGGAACTTCTGGTGCTTCAGCTTGTGGCCGTTTCCTCTAGTCCTATCACTGTCCACCACTGAAAAGAGGCTGACCCCTCCTCCTCACTGCCTCCCTTGAGGTATTTATACACGCTGATCAGGTCCCCCCTCAGCCTCCTCTTCTCCAGGCTGAACAGGCCCAGCTCCCTCAGCCTTTGCTCATAGGGCAGATGTTCCAGGCCTCTGGTCATCCTGGTCGCCCTGCGCTGGACTCTCTCCAGCAGCTCCACATCCCTCTTGTCTTGGGGAGCCCAGAACTGGACACAGTCTCCAGATGTGGCCTCACCAGGGCGCTGTGTAGAGGGGGATGATCACCTCCCTCGACCTGCTGGAGACGCTCTTCTTAATGCACTCCAGGATCCCGTTGGCCTTCTTGGCCACCAGGGCACACTGCTGCCTCATGGTCATCTTGTCATCCACCACGACACCCAGGTCCCTCTCTGCGGGGCTGCTCTTCAGAAGGTCAGTTCTCAGACCATACTGGTGAAATTCCCTGTTGGGAATGTTCCCCAAGGAAGAATACAAGACCCATTCATAATGCTATGGCAGCAGTTGAAAATGTGAGCACATATCCAATTGCCATCTGTTACTTACCTTTTATACTATCAGTCTCTTCTCTTCCAGGGCACCATACCCTGCCCTGGAAAGGACTTCACCCATTTTCTCTATTTTGCCTTGTACTTCTGCAGATTCAGGATCTCCAGTGATACTATTAAGAGAGAGAGAGACATCCCATGCTTTTCCTAAATCAGAGGGAAAATCTCTATCCTTGTCTTTCATCCTTATCCTCCACTTGTCCATCCACAACCGGATGTGAGTGGTGTAAGGTCAAGAAGTGTGTGTGATGACAGCAATAAATCCTTAAAAAAAGAAGAGCAGGCTGCATGCTGGATGTGATGCTAAACCAGTATGGTGTCAGGGCAGTAGAAGAAGGGTAGTGATCCAAGGAGGTCCATCAAGATAAACAGCAGACCTGTTTGGAGAGCAGTGGGAGGTCTGCTTTAACAAGTAGAGTTTATCAGAAAATATACCAGGTAATAGAGAGTATTTCCCAAAAGTCACTAAAGTGACAACAGAATTTTGAAAGTAATGGTGGTATGTGGTGCAGACAAGCCATGACAGAGCATGGGTGATTTAGACAGTCTGTCACTAAACAGCTTCTCTTTGTCCAGATTGAGTTCAAGGATGCAATTTTTCAAAGCCTGGCTAACTGGCTCCAAGTTGGGCCACTGCTGATGCCACAGGCCGTGGGGTAGGAGCAATCACAATGTCCCTCTTCTTTGGTGTAGCAAACATGCTAAAAGAGTGCTCTCTCCCATGTTAACAGCAAGCTCCTTGAAGCCTGGCACTTGGAACACGTTTGCACCATGTACCTTGGTGGTCCATAATAACTAGTGGTGGTTTCTCTGCTGGCCAGGCTACCATCTCTGCTTGTCACCTTGTGCAAATTGGTCATCTCAAAGCAAAGCGTATGTCAAGGAGCCCATTACTGTGCCCTACTGACATCATTCTTTCTCTTTGAAGAAGAAACTGAAAACGTACATGACATGGACACATCCTTGTCAGGCTGAACTTTCATTAACCTGTCCCAGTCTCCAGCCTCTTCTTGTCATTCCTGTTGCAGACATGAACAATTGCATATCCTCCATTTTCTGAGGTGTTATATATATAAATATATATATTTTATATATATTTATATACTTTTCCATTACAGAGATCTGATAATTAGATGCTACAGAGTGATTATAAAATGCATAAGTCCCCCATCTTGACTTTCTCTAGGAAAAATGTAGCATTCCTGCAGCTGGACTCCAATCATCAGAAATAGGTTGGGTTTCAATAAAATAATGGGAATATAGTGCCTTCTAATATGTAAATTTGAGGACTTCCTACCATTTCTCCGCACCTTTGCCATTCATTGAGACTTGTCTTCCAACTGATCTCCATTTTACCTGCTCTCTCTTCCCTACAGGCACATCCTACCTGCAGGCTCCCAATGCCTTTCCAGTGGCATGGATGAGCCTGCAATCCCAGTCTCAGAGAAGACAGATTATAAATACTTCTTTGACAGCATCTTTGTCACTGAGCCATCTCCTTAGCTTCTTCCCCAGAGGCTCTTTTCCTCAGGCCAGTGTATGGTACCATTAGTCTTGCAAGAAGCTCTTTTTTTTTTTTTTTTTTTTTGAAGCTATAGATTTTAGGACCAAAAAAGAAAAAAAAAAAAAAAAAAAAGAAAGCAGAACTATTTTTTGACTAATAAAAGCAGGGGTTCTTTGGGCAGACCCAAAGACTGAGTCTATGAGTGGTCTCAGAACACCATTGTTTTATAGTCTTTAGTTATAGGGGAGAACTTTATTCCTAATCCGTGACAATAAAAATATCCCATTGCCATATTCCAGTCTCTGTCACATTCCCTAAAATATGCTAATCTGTAATGCAGCACTTGGTACCTGTTCTCACCTCATCCAACCATTTCAAAATGTTACCTTGACTTTAGACATAAGGGACATGCCACTCTGCCATGTGGCATGTCACGAAGTGCAAAGATGTGGCAAAAAAGAAATTTAAACTGTTGACTGGGTGATGACACAGGTTTCTGCAGGGATCTTCCCCTTTCCACAGCTGAACGTATCGGACAGCAGTGCCTGAAACTGCCCAAAGGGCTTGAGAGATCAAATCCGTCAAGGAAGAGCACACAGCTTCAAGGAGAGAGTGATCCTGCAAGAGGTACCCAGAGCACAATGGTAAAAACCCAAAACGCTCACAAATGTGTGGAGAAGGGACTAGTGGGTTAAATTGGAGACTGGTTTTACTCCCTCCATGGAGCAATAGGACGTTTCCAATGATGTTCTGCCAGAAAGAGGCCCTGGAAAACGGACTCAAGGCAGTCTGCAGGGAGACGTAGAGCACTGGTCAATGTGATCACAAGTTGACTTGCAGCCACGCTGCTCAGCAGCGCTCAGCAGAGCTGCGGGACCGACAGTGACTCATGAGGAGCTCCTCCGAGATGTGCATGTTGTGAAACACCGTACCCAGCCTTGGAGGATGGGGTACACCTGGAAGGATTAAAGCAGCTAGTCATTGGCATTTAGTTCTCTGTCAGTATTTGAATCCACACCAGTGACTTGCAGGCAATGCTTAGTTTAACTTGTTTAATGAAGACCTCAGCAGAAGGGACAAAAAAAAAAAAAAAAAAAAAAAAAAGGGAGGTATCATCCATCATCATCAGTTTTCAGTAACATGTGGAAATCACAAAAAAAAAACCCAGCATCCATCTGAGTTTACAAGCTAAAAAGACAGCATAAAAGAAATCCTCTGTGTCTGAGGTTTGTGTTACTTACCTCAAGGGAGGCAACAAGAGGGAGCCGATGGCGCTTGCTCTGGGACAGCAGCACTGTTCAAAGGCAGCGCTCAGCACGGGTAAGGCAGGCGGCTTCCCACGGCCGGGGGCAGGAAAGGCTGAGCCGAGGCAAGCAGGCAACAGCCCCACAGGCAGCGCCCCACAGGCAGCAGCCCCACAGGCAGCGGCCCCAAAGGCAGCGGCCCCAAAGGCAGCGGCCCCACAGGCAGCGGCCCCACAGGCAGCGGCCCCAAAGGCAACAGCCCCACAGGCAGCGGCCCCACAGGCAGCGGCCCCAAAGGCAACAGCCCCACAGGCAGCGGCCCCACAGGCCGCGCATTGGCCAAGCACTTGGCTCCGAGGGCATCCCGGGTGCGCTCCCGGCTTGCGTCTTTGGGCTTGGTTTTACCAGAAGGGAATCACACCCCAACGCTTTCCCTCGTGTGAGCTGAAGCTCTCACTGACGGTGCAGGAGCTGTTATGAGAAACCCCAGAAGAAGATGCACCCAAGGACATATTTTCACTGTTGTTGCTAGTATATTATAAGAGAATATGGACAAAACAGCAGGTTTTGTGGGTATATTATGAGAGAATACAGACAAAAGGAGCAAACACTGGTTGAAGGCGAAGGACCTCCGTATTGTGATGAACTGGCTGAAGCAGGAGAGAAGAACCAAAACAGGGCCTACTGAGTCAAAATGAAGCCATATATGGAACTGACTTCCGGGAAGACGACCACCAGGGGGTCTCAAAAACACCACTGAAAACCACCAAAGGGACAGAGGTTGCATGCATGTGGGGATAGGGTATATTGTAATTAGTTACAGGAAATGGAATGAATATGTATGATCATTTCCTAGAATTTAATGCATATGTAGATAATAGAGAAATAAAAAGTTTTAGCAAACACACCTTGGGGATGCACGATAGGTGGAGCTATCCCCCGTGCATTCAGCGCTGCAATAAAGCGAACGGCCTGCTTCTTAATACTACATTGGTGTTAAGAGGTTTATTCCCGGTTTTCGGTGACAGTACTGGGGAGGGTGGGTCTGAACGTCCCGACAAAACCCAAGCCCTTTCCTGCTGCAGCTGCGAGAGAGCGCCCGGGCCTCGCGGCTCCGGCGGCAGCGGGACACAACGGCTATGGCCAGACACAACCAGGAGCAGCTGCCGCTGCTCCCACCAACACCACCAGACACAAGGGGAGGAAAACGGCCCAGCTCCACTGGCCAAACCCATGCGTAAGAAATGGTTTACAGTGTGTCCATGCTTCAAAGTTTATCTTGCTCTTCCTTCAAGAGAGCTGATCAATCTCAGTATGCTTAGCACGCCGGGGACCAATTTCTTGTTCCTGGTTCTGCTTCAGTGAAGTTGCCAAAAAAAAATACTGGGCATCAGAAAGTTTTTTAAGCACTTACTAAAGAGGGCCAACAACTTTGAAAATGCCACCATTCATCATATTAAGCAATATCAATCCACTGACATTTATTGCCTTTAAAAAAAATCAGCTTATGTGTTCTCATAAGGCACAGGCCCTAACAAGTTGTCATACTTGGAAGAAAAATTGAAGGCTTTTGTAATTTTGTAACCAAAAGTTGAAGACTTTTGGTTATTTGCAAACCGAAAACCTACAAAGGTTATTTGGATGCAGTTACAGTTAGAAGTCACTAAACTTCACTGAAAAGAATGATAATTCCACCTGGAACAAAGTTTCACATACTGCTAAATTATTCATGCATTCACTCATCCTTCTCCTATTAAACCGTTACAAAAAAATTTCAAAACTTCATTCCGGTTAGCAGCGCATTGTGATTTTTCTTCACGCTAAGCAAACCGATGAGAACATGACACACTTCTTTTCTACATTTGCTCTGCTGCCAACTGTTGGTTTATCGGTTCCACTGCTTGTCTGCAGCAGCTCTGAGGCCAGCTGCTAAAGTTACCAAGTACACAAAGAAATTATTGATGTATCTGTGGCTTCCTTAACTCCAGCTAGGACAGTCCAGTGCCTTTTCTACGGCTGCTCATACCCTGGGCTGTGATTTTCACGTCTGCGGTGGTCACCTTGGGTTGTTCTCCACCCTGTTCTGCAGCTCCCACAGGTATCGCTCCCGTAGACAGAGCCACAGGCTTGGCTGGTGTCTCCGAGCACCTGGAGGTGCCTGGGGGGGAACCTCCCCAGCACTGGGTGCCACTTTGCTCACTGGGCACTGTCCGTTCCACAATGCTCAATATTCTCCTTACAGTCTTTAGGTAAGGAGACTCTGTGGTCCTCCACAAGAAAGAAGAACCCAAGGAAACAGCTTGGTCTGCTTCCCTCAACAGCTGTCTGTTCTCCCCCGGCCTTTCCCTAGAAGTCCAAACATCTCAGACATTAGCACAACAACAGTAACATCTTGAAGGTCCTTTCCCTACATAAAATTTTTCAATACACATGTATGACTCTCCAAGGTGAAAACACTTTTTCTTTCTCACATAGTGACAAAATGCAATGATACCTGATTCCAAATCATTAGCTCAGACGTGACCCTTTCACAGCAGAAGATCTCTGCACTGCCTTTCTCCTATCTGCCTACACCAATAAATTCAGGAAATCTTGTTAGTACACACAGGGATCTACACTTAGGTGCTACAGCACCAGCTTGCAAACTAATGTGTACAATGACAGATTTATGCCAAGTGACTGAACTGTCCAGTTACTGATTTACACAAAAGGCATACAAAATCTCTTAGGACAGAAACATTTGAGTATTTTTCCCCTGCTAGGGAATGGAAACCTTGCCCTTCCAAGTCTATTTGTCATTTGCTAGGTAACTAACCAGTAACGCCTGTGCTGACTTTGATACATCCTCAATGAAAGAGAAAGCAAAGTATTTATCCTGAGCCAGTAGGAAAGCTGAGGCCTTCTTTGACATATCCATTAAAAAAAAAAATACTGTCCTCCACAGCCCTGGTTGGTTCATGAGTGCAGTGCTTATCTGTAGCTCTGATTATTACTTTAACCTATAGCTCTTCCCTCTCACTTCAGTGGCTGAGGAGTCTGGAATATACAGAGCAATACTAAAGGTCCACAGGTTCAACGGCTCCTGAGGAACAGGTCCTGCCTCAGACATTTCCAGGCATTGCAACATTTTCAGCTCTGATATAGCAGTGCCTCTGTTAAAGGAGGGAAGAATCCAGAGCCGACCACACTTCCATAAAACTAACAGCCCGAGTCAACGTAATGAGTAGACAGCAGCAGTGCGGTGGTGCCGGCATGCGACGGGGCCCCGTGTCCCCCGGGCCCCGTGTCCCTTGGGCCCCGTGTCCCCCGGGCCCCGTGTCGTCCCCCCGGCCCCGCAGCTGGTCGGGGCGCGGGACACACTGTGCTCAGCTCCGCTCCGCGGTGGAGCGGGACAGGACGGGACGGGGTGGGTGCCGCTGCCGGGGCGCCCGCGCTGCGCCGTGTTTGCTCAGCCCGGCTTCGGCTGCCACGGGGAAAAAGGAAATAATGCCTAGCTTCGATTTTGGTATAATAATAATAATAATAATAATAATAATAATAATAATAATAATAATAATAATAATAATAATAATAATAATAAACACACAGAGAGAAACAGACATAAAACAGTAGTACAACAAAAAATCCCTAGACGGGGCTTTTCAGCTCTCTCCCGGTCTGTGTACCGAGCCCTGTCGGGCCGGTGCCTCTGCCCCGCACCTCCTACCGGGAGCCGCCCCCGCCGCGTCCCCCGGCCCGGCCCGGCCCGGCCCGCCCCCGCGGCAGCGGCAGCGGCACCGCCGCCC